GTGTTTCACTAAGTGTACGTCGCATCCCTGACTAACGTCCCGGAGAACCTGGGACCTGCTCCTGCTGCAGTTCAGTTCGTTGGATGGGGTATATCCAATAATAGCATTTACAAGCGGTATGCAGGCATCCTGAAAGCGGAGAAGTGGCAGTACTGCAGTTCACAGCAATACTCTCTACTCCACTGCAGGCATAATTAGCTGGCTTAAAAGTGCCCTTCTGTGTATTTGGAGGCCCTGGCAAGTCTGTATTCGTGACTGTGTATGTCAAAGAAGTAGTTGTATGCTCGCTATAGCACTTCAGAAAGCAATTCTGCGCATTGGTGTGCTGCTTTTTTTTTCCCCTCAAGTTTTATTGCTTTAGTCAACAATGATTGCCAAGCGGTTTCTTTTAGTAAAGTTCTATGCCTTTCTTTTAAGACAACAGGTCTGTTTTCAATATTTTCAGATTGTTCTTTGGCTGTTAATCTTTGCATTTTTACTCTCTCTATATTAGTCTGCTTTCTGGCTTCAAGTTTTTTTGATCTTTCTTTAAAATCTAGAGGAATGCTTTGAAGTACTTTCTCTCCAAGCCTTCTGTCAATTCCATTTAAGTTTTTCAGTGGTGGGTTAGGTTTAACGTAGGACAGAAATACACCCATCTACTGCAAATGTCACCCTAAAACTCTTGAACTGCTTTTGTTTAAGCTAAGAGCAAACAAGCCCTTACCTCTGGCCTGAAACAAAGCATGGTGAAATTCAAAGCCAAAGTAAACTACTTTGCAAAGTTATAAACAATTAAAAAATGGTTGTCTTGAATTCTTCTGTAGTGCCACAGTGAGTGGTGCTCACAATAGCGGTAGTTTTTAATACCATTTTTGGTTGAGTGTTTTGGCTGAAAGAAAACTGAGCGTATGATACTTCTCTTTAAGACCATAATGACAGCGGGCTAAGAGCTGCAAGTGCTTTTGGTGGTTAGCATGTGAGACCTTGGTTTGATTCATGTCCCATGAACATACTCTAGGCTTTGTGTTTGGATGGCTTACACCAGGTTTGTAGATGTTTTAATACACTAGGGAGACAACCTACGTGTTTGGTGGGTTATTGGTGGTTAGAGCGGTTAAGAACGAGGAACCAGAAGGAATGCAACCGACAAAAACTTTTGCTGGAGAATAAAAATCCAGTTGTGTAGAGCTAGGACAGTATTAGGCAGGTTTTGAGAAGGAAGAGAACTGAAACCTGCTGCTGTTGTGTGTCAGGGTTAAACATTCTTCTTCAAAATGTACATCATTGGCTTGCCAAAGTGGAACCCCAGAAATAATGTCTGCATAGTGTATTATGAATTACATGTGTTCATCTAATCTGTATCCTTTGATGCAAACCAGACCCCACAGCCTGTGATGGAACTGATGGTTATCATCAGCATATAGCACTTAGCACATGCAAACTGTTTCACAAATGCATAGCTAAACATCATGAGACCTTTGCAAAGTCAGAAAGAACATCCCTTTGGGGGACTTTGGATTGAATTAGTGTCAAAGCTAGGCCAGTGGTCAGTTAACTGACCACAGTGGTGTGTGAAATTCAAAGAACTGCTTCCCAACTCTCCTGTTTTATAGACGCTAGTTACTTACTTTGGTAGTCTGTCTTCTTGCAGGCTCCCACCGTGTTTTGCAAACACTGAAAATGCTCTCATGGAGAATTTTTTTTTTATTTTTAGCTTTTAATTAAATCTCCCTTCTTCAAACAGCTTTCCCCTAGATGACATTTTCCCAGGTTTCTTGCATCTTGCATAGTCATGTGCTGATTCGGAGCAGACAGACTGGAGACATGCAACTTTCTAGTACAGCAGAATATCTCTTTTTGTGCTTGTTTTCCAAACGTGGTCAGTTACACTTGTGGCAGAAGGTTGTTCATGTGTCAGACCAGACATCTCTCTTAAACATAGAAGTGAGACAATAAGTAGCTTTTTCTCTAGATCAATCTCACTGCTATTGGCAGGAGTGGTCTCTCAGGGTGGTTAATGTTTCTTGAGAAATATTTGCCAATTCCCTTTAAAAATGTCCCAAGATTGCTCCAAGGATTGAAATCTTCCATCTGCTGTTGTGCTTCTTTGCAATCAAGGTTTTCTACAGCTGGTGAGTGGGAAAGTAAGTCACTGTGTTTGGCCAGATGTGATCATCTGCTGTCATACATACGCAACACTTGCAAATTTTGCTTTTTTTTTTTCTCTTTTAATGCCCTGTAACCTGTCATCTGCCATTTGCTCTTACTTCTCAAGTAAGTATTGTGTCATCTGTATTTATCCTTCTGACTCCTTTATCCTTGCTCACTGTCTTTCCTTCTTTCATTTACAGTTATTTTCAGCTGTGTTCCTGCCTCTATATCCAAGCCTTCTTGCTTCTCCCATTGTCATAGATTCCTCACACAGACACTGGCCATCTCTTCTTTGCCCTTTGCATCCTTGTCCTATGTTTGGGGTTTTTTTTTCAATATCTCACCTCCTTCTGCTATTCCTTTCCTTATTCTCATCTTTTATTTGTTGTCTTGGGAATACCCATTGTGACTTCTAGATAAAAAAAATAAAGATCTGTGGTTTAATGTTATTTTGTAAATTCTTGGTTGTGAAGACAATTTAAAAAATGTGAGAGAAGAAAGCAAAATCTTGAATAAAATTGTATAAAAATCATCATTGCTTTGAGACAGAAGATCTAATCTTCCAACCTTGTGGCATGGCAACCTTGTATGTTATGTAGGTCAGAATCTCAGAAATTTCTGTAGTTCTCAGTGTTTGTCATTACTATCATTTTCATGACTAAATGCTGTGAAATATAGAGGACCAAGAAAATAATAAGATGCCATACTGGGAAACATGCTTCCAAGTTGGAAAACAGCTTTTTATGATTTTATTGCAATTCACTGAGCTCCTCCTGTACTTCCATTTTAGAGAATGCATTCTGAAAAAAAAATGAATATGAAAAAACAGAGAAAGTGACATCTTTATGGCCTCTCTTGCAGAAGGCGTTGGCTTGGTCTTTGCACTTGTGGTATATGGGCCTAGATAAGCTTCTTGGCTTTGCTGCTTCCTCTGTGAGTTTTTGTTCCAGAAAAATTATTTGTTCAGTGATACTGAACAATGTGTGCTCTGGTGTTTCTCATCGCTGGGCTCCATAAACTGTAAACCGCACCTAAGTACTTCTCCTCTTCTGAACTGTGTACTTCTGTTTAGTATGGCATAATGTGGGGGCTAACACGCTTAATGTTTTAAGAATTTTGTGGAAAGCCCAGTAAGAGTACTGTTTAACTATCTACCAAAACTAAGATGTTGGTGTACTTCAAGCCACGTACTGAAACCCACACGGCTTTTGTGGTTACTTGCACTGAGAGCAACGAGTAAAAAGCTGGACATACTTTTCCTCAAATTATATATGCCTTACCAGTAGTGTAATTTCTACATAAATTGAAGAAAAACTAAACCAGTCTTTTTGAAAGGAGGCCTTCTTGTCTGTATGTATGTGCACATACATGAACGCATACTTATCCAGAAAGAGTACTTAATTTTTAAAAATTGAGTTATAAAAGGCATGCCTGAGCCTGGTGAGCTGCAGTTGGGCTGGGTCCCAATCTATACGGACCACCAGTACGGAGTTGCTTTTTACCGTTATGGCTGATCTCTTAAGAGTTGGCAGTAATCTCTGCCTGACATTTATCATGCATTTACATTTAATGTGTATTTATTTCTGAAAATATGGATTGAACATGAGTTTAAATAGAAATTGAGAAGTGATTATGGCTCCAAAACAGTTCTGTTTGTGTTGTATGAATGTGGTCTTGGTATTTCAGCTGCACAAGAATATAAATGATACAGTTAAATTATCAAGGCTAGAGATTGCAAGAAATGTCTAGGAATGCTTTTCCACTCAGTGGGATCCTCAGTGAGAAAGAGAATGTAGAAGTGGAGGCTTATGTGAGGGTTTTTGGGGGAAGGCAAAAATGAAACCTGGGCTCTGACACGATTAGTCTGATATACTAGTTTTCTACCTGACTGTTGCTCAGAACATCTTAAAGCTAAACCAAAGAGTGAGTACTTACAAAGCATACTGTTGTCTCTTTTGTGGTGGTCTCAAATGCAGTAATTAGTTTCTAAACTTTATTTTATTAGAATTTTTTTTGCATTCTCATTCATCTCATTCAATATTTCAAGGTGCTTTGGCTAATGATGAATATTGTGTCCCTGAGGGGTGAGTCAAACATCCTGCTAAGCTTGAGTTTCCAAAGCGTCTCTAGAAAACTTCCAACTAAACTGGAAGGGCCTGATTCAAGATGGGTGGCAGGTTAATGAAGTAACAGGAAAATGAAGGGAATATTCACACCAGCCCTGTGAGATGGGACTTCTATGAGATTCCTTTGCCCTGGGCCTGAAGGAAGGTAACTGAAGTCTAGCAGTGTGAGTGCAGCACAGAAAAAGGGCCATGGCTTTACATGCCCTTGAGCTATAGAGGCTTCTAGTCACCAGTATGCAAAAGGGATTGGGGCCACGCCAATGGCATACCAGCCTTTGGGAAGACTGGTATCAGCAGCTGAGCAGGTGGATCTGCTACAGCTTTTGTCACTGCTTCCATTGAAGAAGGAGAGCTGGAAAAGGACCAAAGGAAATAATCTAATCCAAAGCCTCCGTGTCATGGAGTCCTTTGCACAGAGATGCCAGATTATGGTATGAAATAGGATTTTGGTCCCATGCAGTACGTAACAAGATTATGTTCCACGGGAGTGAAAATTTCTTAGATTTTAAGTTGTTTCCTGCAATTCTTTGGTGTGATTCAGAGCCTCAGACTTATATTTGGGTGCTTTTGTATTTATTTTGTGTTTATTTTTATTACATAAGTTATAAATACATATAAATTTATATACTTAAAAGTGTATGTCCACCTGTTTAAATATATTTCTATGTATACACATTTTATAGGTAAGTTTAATATATGTTCCTGAAATAGGTTGATTTTGTTCTTTGTTTCCTTTATCAGTTTGCTGAAAGCAGTCAGAAAAAAGAGGCTTTACAAAAAAGCATCGAGAAATCAAAAATTGGACGTGAAGATAGTGTAAGTTGATTTGGGGGGAGGCATTCCTACCAGGAAGTAGGGCTACAAGTATGCATGGTTTGTAAATACTAATGTAGTTGTTTAGTATTCTAAATACTGGAGATGAGAAAGGGACAGAAAACCCCCAGATATTAGATTATTCTTAGTTGGTCATGCACTAATGACTAAAATATTGACAACTGCCTGCTCCAAGGCTGAGAAAATGTCACTTCCTGAAGTCTGGTAATCTTCTTAGGCTTTTTCAGATTTAAAGATATCTTAAAACTTGAAGTACTCAGAGGTGTGTACCAAAGTTGCCAATGGTTGCTGAACTGCCAAATCTAGTAACTGCAATGTTAGGTGTTGGGAGTCTTTTTTTTTTTTTTTTTTTTTTAAATCTTATTTGTAATCTAGATTTCTAAATTACTGTTCTGAGCAGCCGTGTAAGCTGGTGCTCTTTGCATGCTGAAGCTGTTAAGGCTGCAAAATAATATTTAGGCTTCATATTTAACATATATATGAAGTAGCATATTAGTTAGAAATACTTCATATAGTATTCAAGTTGCTGATTTGTTTTGAGATGCTCAGTCTAAAGTGGTTTAAACCTCCAAAAAAATAAGTGCATAAGCAGGTGTCACAGTTTGAGCCTGAGCCGGCCACTAACAAATGACAGACGCT